GGTGATGGTCTGCACAAAGATGAAACGCTTTGGGGAAAGAGCAGGATGTCTTGAAATCACAGCTTTTCTGCATGAAATGGATTTGCAACAGAAGATCTTCCCGGGAGAGCAGTCTCCAGCAAAGCAGCAGCTCTGCTCTCCGGGCAGAGAAAGGTTCTTTGCTCAGGTCCTGTGTCACTTCACATCCCATTAATGACTTGAGCAGAACTGCTCTTGCTCTTTTTTTTCTTGGTGTTTCAGCTTCCTTCTTTTAGGTGAAATTCCTGACAGCTCTGTAGGTAATTACCCTTATTTTGAAATTGGTATCAGAAAAACTCCCACACACTGACTGGATGTAAAAGGCTGTTTTTGTCCTTAAGGAGGAGAGTAAGTTTTCAAGGAAGGACTGATTGCTGAAGGGTTGGAAACAAAATGATGGGAAGAAAGGCCAAGACCAAAATAAAAATAGAATACAGAACAACTGGAAGCTGTGCTGGTACCAGACAAACAAGTCATTGGCTTTAGAGGTTATTTCTCAGCTCCCTCTCCTCAGAATTGAAACCTTGGAGTAGATCACTCACTGTAGGAATCCCTGCTCATGGTCCCCTCCAACCCAAACCATTCTGGGATTCCCTGCTTGAGGCACACTGAGATTTGAGGCTGTTTGAGGCATCTGCTGGCAGATGAAAGGGTTTCATTTCCAGCTTCCTGCAAACTGAGTAGGCTGAAGGAAATCACTGACGCTGATTTCAATATTAAAGGACAGTCSCATTGTCCCAGCATAAACCACTGACACACTGGCCACGAGGTGGCTGAAGGTGCTTTGTGGAGAGGCAGCAGCGTTTCATTTTTCTGTATTTTTTTTGCCTTTAATGGCTGTGTAACCATTTATTAAACCAGTCAGAAAATTACTTGAAGCTAGGAGCTTTTCAGCCAGGTTCAGCCAGTTCTGAATCTGCTGCTAAACTGGAATTCCAGCTATGCTCAGTTTGTCTCTGCACCTGRTGCTATCCCTGCTCAGTGCCTGTCCAGTCACAGTTTATCCTGGGATAATTTACTTGTTGGTTCCTGTACTCTGGGCTGTGCTTTAACTCTGTACCTTCACACTACAGTCAGCTCCTGAGAGAGAAATAATGGTATGGTGGAGAAGCAGCAGAAAATCTCCTCGCAGGAGGGGCCAAAGCAGAGTTCCCCCTTTCCTGGTGGGAGGCAGAGCTGCTCCCGGAGCACTGGGCTGTACTGGATGCATGGAGCAGCGGGCAGGGCAGGGTGCAGGGCTCAGGGTGGGCAGGGCTCAGGGCATGCACAGCCTGCCCAGGCCTCCTTGTGCTGGGAATTGTTCCCACATCACAGAAACCCTGTGTCAACATCCCCAGCTATCCATCCCTATCTCCTATCTGGAGAACTGGCTGAGGAGATCAAGCAGTTCTGCAGCRTGAAGCCAGTGAAGAGCCAGGGCAGGTGTGAGTCAGCAGAAGGAGAAACAGGATCTGCCTCCCATGGGGAAACCCACATTTCTCTCGATTCACTGATCCCTTTGCTGCCTCTAGTCCAGGGATTTCCCCAAGATGCTCAGAGGAGTGAAAGTTTCAAACACATCTGGGGTTTAGGACTCCTCCTCTCAGCCTCGGTGCTGTGTCAGAATTGTTGGAGCTCCCTCCGGAGTGGGAGGACACTGAGATGATGCCTGTGGACACTGCCAGGAGTGGCCTGTGGCAGTGTGTGACAGTGGCACAGTGTGTGACAGTGGCAGTGTGTGACAGTGGTATTGTGTGGCTGTGCACTGTGTGACAGTGGCAGTGTGACAGTGTGTGGCAGTGGCATTGTGTGGCTGTGCACTGTGTGACAGTGGCAGTGTGACAGTGTGTGACAGTGGCATTGTGTGGCTGTGCACTGTGTGACAGTGGCAGTGTGACAGTGTGTGACAGTGGCAGTGTGTGACAGTGAAAGTGTGTGGCTGTGCACTGTTTTACAGTGACAGTGGCAGTGTGTGACAGTGGCAGTGTGTTACAGTGGCACAGTGTGTGACAGTGGCACTGTGTGACTGGCACAGTGTGTTACAATGGCAGTGTGTTACAG